AGAGATCAGAATAAAGTAATAAAGTTGGCTAAGTCGGTGGCCTCATCACTAAGCATCGACATTACAGAGCCCTATTGACACGGTGAGGGGACGCAGCCGCCTCGCGAAGAAAACCGGTGACAATTACACACTTAAAGGAATATGTGCACAACACAACAGCTCGTCACCCTGGACTTGTTGCGTTTTTCATGAATCATATTAAAGACCATTTCTCCCAGCAACTCAAATATGATGATATGTTGACATTTGAAAAGATTTTCTTGTACTTAAAATCATATACGTTTATGAATGCAGTAGACGAGGCAAGTAATACCTTTTCGTTTCATTTGCACTATAAAAAGGATTGATTATCATACTTATTAATCCTATTATTGCAGGGCTTTCGTGGGTATTTACATATGCAAAATTTGACTCAAGAGGAAACTGAACTTTGTGATATGATATTCCGAGAACCCATTGATACCAGACTGCCAGTTAACAAATCAGGGGGGGACAGAGAAGACTGGTCAAGACGAACTTGCTCAGCGAACAAAGCGGGAAACTCGATTTTGCTTCGCCCTACCTGCGTGCTCTCTATCTGCAGCAGTGTTGGGGAAACACCACTAGGCCAAAAATTCCTCCTCAAGATTTTAAAAGCTTCCTCTGCGGAACCTTCACTAACATGAAGGCTGAGACCATATGTAATTCCTATTCTATATTCTGTTGGCAAAGATGGACGGCTTCTGGAGCGTGCTTGGCAAATGGAGTTTTATCAGGCCGCTACTCAAGTCCTACCTCCTGACATATTCATTTCTGCTGATGTTGGGGGTCAAATGGATATGTGGATTTCTTTGTGGATGATGGCCGGAGTTGGGCAATCGAATTACTACGGGATGGTGCAGATGCGTCTGGCCACAAGGGTCACTTTGAACCAGACAGTATCTATGAACCTATCAGGAATGTTTGCAAGGAATGGGCCATTATTGACATTTGATGTCCTGGTCTTCATAATGAAAAGCCAAAATATAGTGGTGATTATCATTGGATAAACGTATATTGTCAGGAGGATTGGAAGTCTGTTATAATAAAAGATAAGGATGAGAGAGTTGAGGTTCAGCTCATGGGATAGAGATCAAATAAGATTTTGAAGGGAACACGTATACGTTGCATTATTTTATTTCTGATTATTTCGTCTTTGCGTTACAATTATCATTTTTCATTCCTCAGTTCGCTTTATGCAGATGCTACTGACGGGTAGCTTACTTGAAATATACTCGTAGAAAAAGTCCTACAAATTACATCAGTTTATTGTCTTTGCTTTTAATCTGTTTCTTGCATAATAAACGTCGGATTTCGTTTACTTATTGTATTCGTGAAGAGTTATTCGTTAGAGAATCTGTGTATAGTTACAAATGATAAAAATTATATATAGGAATACCCGTATATGGAAAATTATAATTATAACGGTTCAACCGAATATGAAAAAGCAATACGTTTCTTG